TTAATATAAATTCTTTTAAAAACTCTTTTTATATCAATTAATAAATATTTTTTATTTTAATAATTAATTTCTAATTACATTTAATTTCATTAAAAAACTAATAATAAATAGATAAGTAGGTAATTTGTGTTAGAGTTTTTTAAAAACTCTTTTAAAACCTCCTTTTGTATCAGTTAATAAATATTTTTTTATATTAATAATACTTGTTTAATTAGGTTACTTTTTATTAAAAAAAACTCATAATAAATAGATAAATAGGTATTTTGTGTTAGAGTTTTATAAAAACTCTGTTGATAGAGTTTTATGGAAAATAAAATAGGTAATTTGTAATACAGTTTTGTTGAAATTATTTTATTTTCTTTAAATATATACTTGTCTAATTCGATTTAATTTTATTAAGAAACTCATAGTAGAGTTATATAAAAATTATTTTCTTTTATATATCAATTAATAAATATTTTTTATATTAATAATTCTTGTCTAATTAGATTTATTTTATTAAAAAATTGATAATAATAAATAGATAAATAGGTTAATTTAATTTTTATTATTTAGATTTTAGTGTTTTATCATATTATTTAATAAATATTTTTTTACATAAATAAATAAATACTGAAACTCTTTACACATCTAATAATAATATAGATAAAAACTCTTTTTATATCAATTAAAAAATAATTTTGTATATAAATAAATAAATATTGAAATACTCAAACTCTTTGACAAAGTTTCTGTATTTTACTCTGAAATTCAACTCTTTTTATATCAATTAATAAATATTTTTTTATATAAATAAATAAATACTGAAACTCTTTGACAGAATTTCGAATTTCTAGAATTCTCAATTTCTGTACTCCTTCCTCCTTCCTTCATGCCTCTATTTATAGGCTTCTTGGATGAAGAGGATAATGACATATGACATGTGTCCTTTTATGATAATGACATAATCATAACTGGGTCGGCCCGGTTATATTGTGATAATTATCCATAAAAAAGAATTAAAAATAAGAGTTTTATATAGAATATGATTGATTTTATTAGGTAATTTTTAGATTTTTATAAAATTATAATTATCCATAAAAAAAACTAAAAATAAGAGTTTTATATAGAATGTGATTGATTGTATTAGGTAAATTATATTTTCTTTTATTAAAAACTTGTAATAAATAAATAAATAGGTAATTTGGGTTGGAGTTTAATATAAACTCTTTTAAAAACTCTTTTTATATCAATTAATAAATATTTTTTATTTTAATAATTCTTGTCTAATTAGATTTACTTTTAGTAAAAAAAAACTCAAAATAAATAGATAAATATGTAATTTGTGTTTTAAAAACTCTTTAAAAACCTTCTTTTGTATCAGTTAGTAAATAATTTTTTATATTAATAATACTTGTCTAATTAGGTTTCTTTTTATTAAAAAACTCATGATAAATTGATAAATTGGTAATTTGCGTTAGAGTTTTATACAAACTCTTTAAATAGAGTTTTATTGATAGTAAAATTGGTAATTTGTAATTTGTAATAGAGTTTTAGTGAAATTATTTTATTTTCTTTAAATATATAATTGTCTAATTAGTTTTAATTTTATTAAGATACTCATAGTAAAAGCTAATTTGTGGTAGAATTTTATAAAAATTATTTTCTTTTATATATCAATTAATAAATATTTTTTATATTAATAAATCTTGTCTAATTAGATTTTCTTTTATTAAAAATGGATAATAATAAATAGATAAATAGGTTAATTTAAATTTTATTATGTAGATTTTACTGTTTTATAGATTTTTTTTTTTTTTTGTTTTAGTAAAAACTCTTTTCATATCATTTAATAAATATTTTTTTATATAAATAAATAATGAAACTCTTTACACATCTAATATTTAATAATAATATAGATAAAAACTCTTTTTATATCAATTAATAAATATTTTTGTATATAGAGATTTTGTATTTTACTCTGAAACTCAAGTTAATTAATTTACTCTGGAATTCTGGATTTCTAGAATTCTCAATTTCTGTACCTCTTCCTCCTTCCTCCATGCCTCTATTTATAGGCTTCTTGGATGAATATGATGATGACATGTGTCCTTTTTTGATAATGACATAATCATAATTGGGCCGGGCCGGTTATATTGTGATAATTATCTATAAAAAATAACTAAAAATAAGAGTTTTATATAAAATGTGATTAATTTTATTAGGTAATTTTTAGAGTTTTATAGAAACTATAATTATCCATAAAAAATAACTAAAAATACGAGTTTTATATAGAATGTGATTGATTTTATTGGGTAATTTTTAGGAAAAATTATATTTTAGTGACCAAAATTAAATATAATTGCTATATAGTGACTTTAAAGTCAAGAAAAGGTGAATAGTGACCAATGTTGAAACTTAATTGATATTAAGTGACCATTTGATGGTTTATTACCTAAATAGCCTTCTTATAATATATTATTATGTAAGTAGATAAATTTACCCTCCACATTAACCAATATAAATATTTATTTAAATTGACTAAAGATTCTAAGAGACAGGACGAGAAAATTGTAAATTTTCTTCTTATTCATTATTTTCAAGGTATAGTTATTATACTTTACGAGTTGATTTGTCAGAGTGATATTCCTTAAGATATAAGATTGTAACTTTTAGGAATTTTTTAATACTACTTAGTTATAGTTCAAGAAATAATGATCATTGTTGATTAATTTCATAATTTTGTCAATTGTTAAAGGGTGTTTCAAAAGTATGATTTGTCACTGTAAATGTAATGAGCGTTCATGGTGTGGTCTTGAAAAATAAATAAAGGGTGAAAGAGAGATAATATTGATAAAGAAATCTTAATTTTTTAAATTGGTAAATTGTAAACTAAAAAAGAAAATATGAGATGGTGGAGAGCCTTGAAAAATAGATAAAGGGTGGAAAAGAGATAATATTGATATAGAAATTTTAATTTTTTAAATTGGTAAATTGTAAACTAAAAAGAAAAAAAAAGAAAACGTTGGATTAGAGAGAAAGAGAGAGTAGGAAGATGAATTCAATGACTTATTATTTATATTGGATGACAATTTTGTCATGTAAAATTTATTTTTAAAGTGTTTATTAAACTTTTAATTGTTTTGGACCAAATTATCCTTAAATGGTCACTTAATATCAATTAAGTTTCAACATTGGTCACTATTCACCTTTTTTTGACTTTAAGGTCAATATAGAGCAATTATGTTTAATTTTGACCCCCAAAATATAATTTTTCCTAATTTTTAAGTTTTATAGAAGCTATTTTTACAAAAACTATTTTTATATTAATTAATAAATATATAATACTGAAACACTTTGCACATTTAATATATATATATATATATATATATATATATATATGTATATACATATATAATTTGATAGAAAGTATTGGGCAACCGTGGTACCAAAAATATAGTACCTCTGGGCAATGGTGATTTTGTTTCCTATTATCAACAAACATATTGATTTATTTTTTTAAAAATTTGAAATGGACAATATTGAGTAATGATAAGAATAGAATAGTTGATTCTATTATATTTTTGGACGTCATGCTAATATTTTAATTATTTGTTCGAAAACAACCATTTACTTTCACTCATTATCCAATGAGTTAAATCCAAAGTTCACACAATGTGAACTTGGGTCGATATAGTTCACACCAACTTGATTAAAGATTTAAAATTTAATACCTTAAACAAACAGAAATCCGTTCTTTATTGGGACTTAATTAAATTAACATACAACATTTTAAAGAAAAAAAAAAAGGAGTAGAAAAAAGAAAAGAAAAATGCTACGTGAATTAGATACTCCAGCTTACCAACAATTAAAAAATTTTAGGCCCAAAAAAGAGAAAAAAAGAAAAAACAAACAAACAGGTTTTTAGGCTTATAAAGAAGTATGATTTTTACAGTGAGTTTTTATTTTTATTTTTATTTTTAAGCAGTAGTCCACTTTCACAGTTTCTACAAAGCGTAAGTATCCTTATTTTATCCTTCCGGCCCCACTTTTTAAGACCCATAAACAATTGGATCATTTTGTAAATTTTAATACTCAAAATAGCATGGGTTGATCCGGTATTTAACTTGAGGCAATCATTTACTCCCTAAATCCAATATTAATTAATAGTTCCAGCATTACAACTTTTGAATTAAACATGCAATTAATGTATGATTTATCTTTTTAAACTTACCAAGTTTTTTCTTCTTCTTAAATTTAGATAAATATATTATTAAATTCCAATTTTTATAAATCTTATCCATATATTTATGAAAAAAAATACATTTATTTCTCTTTGACTTTTCAAATAAGACAATTATAGTAAGACAATCAAAAAAATAAATTCCTAACTATTAATATGGAATGTAGAAATTATTTTATACATCTTCTTCTTTTCTTTTCTTTTTTTTGACAATTCCAAAATATTTTAAAATTTTAAATAAAATAAATATATATATTTTTTATTAATACCCTTAAAATGTTCAAAAATTTCCCGAAATTAATAGCGTAATAGATTATTTCATATTCAAACTTTTATCTTTTTAAACTTACCAAATTTTTTCTTCTTCTTAAATATAAATAAATATATTATTAAGTTTGAATTTTTATAAAACTTATCCATATATTTATGGAAAATAAATGCATTTATTTTTTTTTTTGACTTTTCAAATAAGACAATTATAGTAAGACAATCAAAAAAATAAATACATAACTATTAATATGGAATGTATAAATTAGTTTATCCATTTTTCTTTTTTTGACAATTCCAAAATATTTTAAATAAAATTTTCAAGAATTTTCCTAATAGTATAATAGATCATTTCATATTTAAATTTTAAAGGGTAATTTGATAATTTTAAAAGGAGACATTTGTATTAAATTCATGTCTCCTGTAAAATTTAGAATATGAAAAGGGGTCCCATTTATTTAGTCTTCTCGTAATTTCCTTCAAGTGCGATGGACAGATTAGGTAATAGACGGCGTTACGCAACGCCTGTACTACAAACAACCCGAAAGAATCTTCGGCCACTTCCCAACCTTCCAACGAAAAGAGGGAAACGAAACCATTATAAAAACACAACAAAAGTCTCTCTCTGTCTCTCACTCTAAAAAAAAAAAAAAAAAAAAAAAAAGCTCTCTCTCTCTATCTAAAAGCATAGTTTGTATACAATTTTATTGCGTAGAGAGATAGAGCACCAACCGTTTGTTTTTGTTCTCCACTTGTGCCTCACTGAACCGGCACGCGAGCATCGAAGTCAGTGAACGTCAACTACTCACTCTCTCTGCTCTGCTCTTCTCTTCGGACGGACTCATCTCTTCCAGATCGGAACGTTCAAAAGTTGCATCAAATTGTAACACACACTCAAACTCTCTCTCTCTCTATATATATTTATATACACAAACTTCATGCATATGTGTGTGTGATATGTAATTTTCTCTTTCTGCATTCTCTGACTCAAAGGACGATTGATTCGGTATTACTTTTGGATTTTGATATGGCTTTTGCAGTCTTGTGAATTCTGTTTCTGTATCAATTTAGCTGTAGAATTCGAGCTGAATCAGTTATTTGAAACTTGCGCAAGTTGTTTTTTTGACGTTTCGGTTTTCATTTCTCAAAAAGGCTTTCTGTTTGAAAATTTTATTTTGGCCTTTATCAAGTACTTTTCTACTTCAAGGCGATTCTCGTGTTTTCACTTTTCGTCTTTATCAACTACTTTATACACACATATATATATATATATGTATGTATATATCCAAGTCTTTTAATTTAAATTCTGGATTTTTTTTTTATATATACATGAATTCAGGTGCCTAATTTTTATAATTGAATGAATTTTATGAATTTATATTGTATTCCCATTCTATTTTGCGGTTTTAACTGTTGAAAGGTTCATGAATCAGTACACAAATTGTTCATTGAATCTGAATTTCATCCTACTTATCGAGTACTCGTACGTTTGAATTCTTTTCTTTACAAATTTTTAATTGTTGAGTTGGTTGACTAATTGTAAAAGAAACAACTTCACCTTTCTGATCTAGGAATTTTTTTTTTTGATGAATTGGTATATGGTTATGGTCTTTGCTGAGCTTTCACTTTCACTTTAATAATCGCATCACTGTGGATCGTTGACCTCAATTTCCCCTTTTCTTCCATCATTTTCCAGCGGCTTTTAGTTCTTCTCCCTCCCTGTCGAAAGCGATGCAATTTCAATTTTGTTGTTCTTTCAATTATATGTCTCTATTTTGCTGCTCAATTACATGCTTGTGGATTCATTTGTTTGTCCTTGTTTGGATGCACTCAATTATATTTGATTGCATTCCTAATGTATTGCTTTTGATGTTGAATCCGTTGAAACTAACTGATGAGGTTCTGTTGATAATTTTAGCAGGCTCTGTGAGGATGTTGGAGAAGATGGACAAGTTTGACGCTGAAGAATTCATAGAAGAGTTCGAGATTCTGACCAAAGATGTGGAGAGAGTTCAGAGAGAGACGCTACAGAAAATTTTGGAAGAAAATGGCTGCACAGAGTACTTACAGAAATGGGGTCTTAATGGAAGAACAGACCCGGAGAGTTTCAAGGCATGCATACCCCTCGTTTCTCACAAGGATTTGGAGCCTTATATTCAAAGGATCGCCGACGGTGATAGTTCGGCTGCTATTCTCACCGGAAAACCCATAACAACCATCTCATTGAGGTATTTCTATTTGTTTCTCTTATTTTTATACTACATTTCAAACTTATTTTTTTGCAACTGAAGGGTATTATTGCCTATTGATCAATTTCAATTATCTTGCAGTTCTGGTACTACTCAGGGCAAACCCAAGTTTGTACCTTTCAATGATGAATTGTTGGATTCCACCATGCAGATATTTAAGACGTCCTTTGCTTTTAGAAACAGGTACATATTTATTGAATGGATATTTTATTTTATATATTGCTTTATAATTTAATTTTCTTGCTGGGAAAAAAAAGTTATTTTATATATATTTTATAAAGTCATATTAGCTAGGGGATTAAGTTACCTTTGCGAGGATTGTAAGTTTGTTTCTCAATTTTTTTTGCAAGTTTCATTTAATCTCATGTTTTTTAATTCTTTATTTGGTTTAGAAATTGGTAAGACTAAATGATGTTTGGTAAATAAGCTGTGAAGGTTATTTCAAGTTGAAAGGTAGATAGTTCGAATCTCTCCAGTAGTTATTGCGGGAGTTCTTAATTAGGGGAAAAATAAAATTTTTATTCTTCCATTGGTTGTGGGAGTTTTTTTTTTTTTTTTTTTTCTTAATGTTATATCTTCTTTATATTTTTTATTAATGCTCTCCAAAACTCTCAATTATATTGCAGAGAATTTCCCATAGGGAATGGTAAGGCATTACAGTTTATCTACAGCAGCAAGCAGTTCAAAACAAAAGGAGGTCTTGCAGCTGGGACTGCTACTACCAATGTGTACCGTAGCTCGCACTTCAAGAACACAATGAAGGCAATGCAATCCCCTTGTTGTAGCCCGGACGAAGTCATATTTGGACCTGACTTCCACCAATCCTTATACTGCCATCTTCTCTGTGGACTTATCTATTGGGATCAAATCCAAGTTGTGTCCTCTACATTTGCCCACAGCATTGTCCATGCCTTCCGAACCTTTGAGCAAATCTGGGAAGAACTCTGTACCGACATCCGAGATGGGGTCCTTAGCAGCCGAGTTACTGTTCCATCCATTCGTGCTGCCATGTCGAAACTGCTCGAGCCAAACCCCGAATTGGCTGATATGATTTATGAAAAATGTGTGGGATTAAGTTACTGGTATGGGTTAATATCTGAGCTATTTCCCAATGTCAAATACATATATGGGATCATGACCGGATCAATGGAACCTTATTCGAGAAAATTGAGGCACTATGCAGGGGAAGTTCCTCTGGTATGTGCAGATTACGGTTCTTCTGAAGGATGGATTGGCGCAAATGTCAATCCAAAATTGCCACCTGAGTTTGCCACTTTTGCCGTACTTCCTAATATTGGGTATTTTGAATTTATCCCTCTGAGAGAGTACGTTGATGGTCAGGAGCAAGGTAAAATTGACTCCACTTTCCTCTCTATGGAGCTCAAGCCAGTGGGTCTGAGTGAAGTCAGTGTTGGCAAAGAGTATGAGATCATCGTTACCAATTTCGCAGGTACTACTAAATTTTAAAATAGGGAGAAAATGCATTTACTGTGAGATCATCATCATCATTTTTATACGGGCCTTTAAATTGTCCCCAACTATGTCTTTGATTTCATGAGCATCATTTATTGGGGGATCTGGAACTCCCAACTCCCCCCCGGAATGCTCACCATGTGGGTGCTGCATTCAAGAACAGCTTCTATCCTTGTGCACGTCTTAATCCTCCCTATACTGTCTTGTCTTGTTCAATCATTGAGCTGTTTCTCTGTAGTATCACGTATGAGATTCTCTCTCTATCACTACTTGACATGACTAAAACAGCTGGATAACACCATAATCGTCGATAATTGTTTGAATAATGCAACCATCACATTCAATGCTAATGGCACATCTAATTGGTCGACATCTTAGAATATGAATCCCCAGTTGTTCATTTTTTATGTCCCCCATGTATGTCACAATAGTACGAAATAGGAGTAATTCTCTCTGGCTTAGCCATGTGTATTCGGCCATGCTGGTTGTGTTGACCTAGATTTCCCATGTTATGTAGCCTGTGATTGTTTCTTTTAAGATACAGATTCAACGTACAAGTACCCTTTTTTTATTTCATGTTCTATTGTTTACTTTTTGTTTCATGTGCATGCCATTATTATACTAGATGATTTAGAATATTATTTGTGATTTAGAATGGTATTAGATTAGTCTCTGTTTGTTTTACTGTTCAGCTTCTCAGTAACAGTAACTTTTTCGCATAGAATTTAGTTAATTTTTGTCCAGACTTAAGGAGAATCCTCCATCCATGTATCAAGGAAGCAAATGGTTTTGATAATGATGATAGAATAATGTAAAAGAGTCCTTGTCACCGTTGCATCAGAGGAAAACAATTATTCGAGTTAGCGTTTCCTAGATGAAAACACAGATTGGATTTGTAAATAATTTTGTGATGTTAATGCTACAAATCTCATTGACATTGTGGATTATTCAATTACGTATAGGTAAAATATATTGTGATGAAGTTCAAACAAATTTTTTTAAATTGATTTAGGTTCCGGGAATCGTTGAATAGGTCCATATAACATAGTACTACCTGTATTGACAAGTGAATTAAATATAATTACTGACTAAAGAGGATGCTTGGTGGAATTTTCCTTGTATGCTAAGTATTAACGTAGACATAGGTTGTGCGTATATATGATCACGCATGACGCATGCATACATGATCTGACCAAAGTAGTGTTTTTTCCATTTGTTCTCTTTTGAAAATGTATGCTACGGAAATTAAATCATAAATCATAGAAATTAATGGTAATGAATTTTTACTAAATTGTTTGTATATTTCTAAATAAAAATTTGAAGGTTTGTACCGGTATAGATTAGGAGATGTGGTTAAAGTTGTGGGCTTCCACAACTCGACCCCGGAATTGCAATTTGTTTGTAGGAGAGGTCTTCTGCTCAGCATCAACATTGACAAGAACACAGAGAGAGATTTACAGCTAGCTGTGGAAGCAGCAGGCAAGCTGTTGTGGGAAGAGAAACTAGAAGTTGTCGACTTCACAAGCAGTGTTGATGTATCAACAGAACCTGGCCATTATGTTGTGTTTTGGGAAGTAAGTGGCGAAGTGAAGGAGGAGATTTTGAAGGAGTGTTGCAACTGTCTGGATCGATCATTTGTCGATGCAGGGTACGTGGGCTCCCGGAAGGTCAATGCCATTGGGGCGCTCGAGCTCCGACTGGTTAGAAAGGGAACTTTTCATAAGGTTTTAGATCATTATGTGGGATTAGGAAGTGCTGTTAGTCAGTTCAAAACACCGCGATGTGTAGGGCCAAATAATAGCACAGTGTTGCAGATACTATGTAACAATGTTGTTAAGAGTTACTTCAGTACTGCTTTTGGTTGAATTTGTGAGAAACACAGAGTTTGATAATTTCCCTAGTAATTTAATATCTTTAGGTTGTTTTGAGCAATTGATTCCCAAAAATACTTTAGATGCATGTACAAAAATCGATAGTTTCTTTCTGTTCCCTGTTTATTATCCTTTTGAGGCATTGATTCCCTGTAATACTATATATGGTACAAAAATTGGTAGTTTCTTTTTCCTGTTTATTCTTTTCAAATGTCTATATATTAATTTGGTTCAAGTATTATTTGGGAGGTTGAGAGTTCGAATCCATAATTTATTTTTGGAAGATAAAGCAATTCACATACTTTCACCGAAGACTCGAATCCAACTACCGTCCATTTGGTGAGAGTGTTAACTGTCAACTCCTCCGGGTACTTGCATGCGATCTTTCTCATTGAATTAGATATTTAGATGTAGGTTGTTAGATGTCTGTTTGTCCTTCTTTGTGCTAACACTCCTACCAACAATTTACATGCGTGATCTCTCTCTCTCTCTCAATCACTTGCATGTTGCGTTTGGTATACGCCTACCACATGGTGTTTGATGTGTTTTTCTCTCTTATGGTGCTAATTCCTGCTAATAACTTAGATGTGATAACTTAAATGTCACTTTTAATTAATTAATTTCGTTAGTTTGCGTTCGTAGTTGGTAAATAATGAATAAACGAAGAGAAAATGAATAAATGAGGAGACTTTCCTACTGAAATGACGCATGTACTTCTGCTTAATTGACGTGATAAGAAAAACAACATAAACATATATTTTAAAAATATATATGTTGAAAAGGAAAAATTCTATAGTATTACTACCGAATATTATTAGCTGTAAATATAATATTTATTATTATTTTAATATTTTAATAATAGAAAAAAGAAATTATTAATTAGGCCAGCTAGTTATATGCGTGTATTCTCTCTTATAAAAAGAACCTGTGTAAACTTGTGAAATGTGTGCTAATAGAAAAAGTTTATTCGATATTTCTTCCTTTCAAGTTTATATGGTATCAAAGTCACCCTATGAAAAGAACCCTAATTTTCTTTTCTGCACAATTTCTTCGCTGATCAACCATGTCTGACGTTTCCTCCATATCAACCTCGCCTATCACAACCAAGTCAACCAATCCGACAACCCAAGCCCCCAGTACTGATTCTCACTCGGTTCAGATTACCAATATTCGCCTTAATGGTGACAATTATTTACGGTGGTCCCAGTTCGTTCAGATGTACATCAGAGGGCGGGGAAAAATTGGGTACCTGACGGGAGACAAGAAGACACCAGCAACGAAGGACCCAACCTGGGATGCAGAAAATTCAATGGTGATGACTTGGCTTGTGAACTCCATGGATAAGGATATTAGCTCCAACTATATGTGTTACTCCACGACCAAGGAGTTCTGGGACAACGTGAATCAGATGTACTCTGATTTGGGAAATCAGTCTCAGATCTACGAATTGACTCTAAAACTTGGTGAGATTCGGCAGGGAGAAGACTCGATCACCAAGTATTTCAATTCATTGAAGCACTTTTGGCAGGATATGGATCTGTTCAATGATTATGAATGGAAATCCACTGAAGATACCAATCACTACAAATGGACCGTGGAGACTCATCGCATTTACAAATTCCTTGCTGGCTCAACATGGATGACAGATCATTGGCAGGACTCCACTTCTTCCAATTGGTGAAGTATTTGCTGAGGTTCGAAGAGAAGAGAACCGCAGACATGTAATTTTGGGGAAGAAGATTACTTGCGGACCTGTTGAGAGTTCCGCCCTTATTGTTGCAGAGACTGCTGCTAATAAAACAATCAATTTTCAGCGAAAAACTGAAGAGAAGCCACGGGTCTGGTGCGACTTCTGCAACAAATTGCGTTATACTCGGGAGAATTGCTGAAAAATCCACGGAAAACCAGCGAATTGGAAGAGTAGCAAGCCTGGTGACAGAAATAGGTGTGCGGTTCTTACTGCTAATGAAGATGAGACAAGTCCCTTAAGCAAGGAGCAGATGAATCACCTTCTGAAGCTACTGAAATTTAATTCCTCATCTGGTATTCCTAGTATTTCTCTTGCACAAACAGGTAGTGCACTTAATGCCCTTTCTTGTTGTTTAAATTATTCTCCATGGATTATCGATTCCGGAGCTCTGATCATATGACCACCCTTTCTAATCTTTTTAGCACTTACTCACCATGTTCTGGCCTTGAAAAAATTAGAATTGCAGATGATAGTTTCTCACTTATTGCAGAAAAATGTTTGATAAAATTATCCGAGAATAGAGATCTTAAATCTGTTCTCTATGTCCCTAAACTAGTCTGTAACCTTTTGTATGTGAGTAAACTAACCAAAGAATCTAATTGTCCTGTAATTTTCTGTGATTCTTACTGTGAATTTCAATACCGGAGCTCGGGGAAGAAGATTAGTAGTGCTAAGATAATAGATGGACTTTACTACTTTGATTGGGACTTCTCTAGTAATAAAAAGGCTCAGGGCCTTAGTAGTGTTAGTTCTAACTCTGTTTACGAACAAATAATGTTTTGGCATTTAAGACTAGGATATCCTAACTTTCCATATCTTAAACATTTGTTTCCTGCTTTATTTAAAGATTTGGATTGTTCATCGTTTTATTGTGAGAGTTGTTGCTTATCTAAGAGTCATCGTACTACTTATTTGCCAAAACCTTATACTTCTTCAAAACCATTTTATTTAATACATAGTGATGTTTGGGGACCTTCAAGAGTCACTACTATCTCTAGGAAAAAATGGTTTGTTACTTTTATAGATGATCATACCCGTTTATATTGGGTTTATTTGATGAATGAAAAGTCTGAGGTTAAAAAGATTTTAAAGAATTTTTACACAGTGGTTGAAACTCAGTTTCAAGCAAAAATTAGCATTTTTCACACCGATAATGGAACCGAGTATTTTAATGAAATTTTGGGGAGTTTTTTTGAAAGAAAAGGGTATTCATCATCAGTCTGCATGTGTGGAGACCTCTTAACAAAACGGAATTGCTGAAAGAAAAAATAAATATTTACTTGAAGTGGCTCGTGCTATAATGTTTTCAATGAATGTTCCAAAATATCTTTGGGGGGAAGCTGTTTTAACAACTTCACATTTGATTAATAGAATGCCTTCGCGTGTTTTAAAATATAGCACGCCATTAGAATGTTTCAAAAGAATTTTTTCATTATCAAGGATATACTCAGATTTACTTCTAAAGGTTTTTGGCTGCATAGCTTTTGTTCATATACCTAATAATACTCGGTTCAAACTTGATCCTCAAGCTGAAAAATGTGTTTTCATAGGGTATGCTTCTAATCAGAAGAGATATAAGTGCTATAATTCCCAAATAAGAAAATTTTATGTAAGTATGGATATCTCTTTCTTTGAAAATAAATCCTACTTTCCCAAAAATTCTCTTTAGGGGGAGAATGAGGTGATGAAAGAAAATTTTTGGGATTTATCTTCTACTCCTTTACCAAATGTGATTTTAACTCCTTCACCTGATCCTACTGTTATTCCCAAAATTCAAAGTCAGGAACAATGTGATAAAACCAATGAAGGGAATCATAGTCATATAGTGCTAAACATTACTATATCTGAAACAAGGGAAGAATCACTACAACCGAGCACTAAAGTTCCCAATACTGAGCCCCTGGTTTATACTCGGAGAATACCTCATCAAAAGAGTCAAAGTCAGCCTATTCCTCTTGGAAATGATCAATCTCAACCTCCGGGAATTGGACCTCCAGATATCATAAGTAATTCTGTTCCTAACTCATTTTCAGTTCCTATTGTTTCTTTTAACCAAGAACCATCAGACCTTGATATTCCTATAGCTGTTAGGAAAGGTATTCGAATCAAATATTCAAATCCAAAATATCCCATTGCCAAATGTTTTTCTTATGAAAAACTCTCTCATACTCATAGGGCTTTTATCTAAAAAATCTCACACTTGTTTGTCCCGAGAAACATTCAGGAAGCTCTTGATGATCTGAATTGGAAGTTAGCAGTGATGGAAGAGATGAATGCTCTTAGAAGAAGTGGTACTTGGGAGATAGTTGATTTACCTAAGGAGAAAAGAACAGTATGCTGCAAGTGGGTCTTTGCTGTGAAATGTAAAGCTGATGGTAGCATAGAGAGGTATAAGGCAAGACTAGTAGCAAAAGGGTTCATCCAGACCTATGGAATTGATTATCAGGAAACTTTTGCTCTTGTAGTCAAGATAAACTCAATCAGAATTTTGTTATCTTTAGCTGTGAATTTCAGCTAGCCATTACACTAGTTAGATGTAAAAAATGTCTTTTTAAATGGAGATCTTGAGGAGGAGGTCTTTATGAATCTACCACCTGAGTTTGAGGGAAAATTGGGACCTAATAAAGTTTGTAGACTGAGAAAATCTTTATATGGTCTCAACCAGTCCCCTAGAGCTTGGTTTAAGAGATTTGGGAGAGCTGTGAAGAATTGTGGCTAATGTCAGAGCCAAGCTGACCATAGCATGTTCTACAAACATAGTAGAGAAGGCAAGGTTGTAGTGTTAATTGTCTATGTGGATGATATAGTCTTGAAAGGTAATGACAATGAAGAATTGGAGAGACTGAAAAAGAGACTTGCAGCTGACTTTGAGATCAAGGATTTGGGTGCATTAAAATACTTTCTAGGAATGGAGTTTACTAGATCCAAAGAAGTATGTTTGTGAATGAATGTAAATATGTTCTTGATTTACTTAGTGAGACAGGTCTGCTAGGATGTAAACCAGTCGAGACACCCATTGAGCCCAACCTTAAGCTGCATCATTCTAAAGATGAAGAAATTATGAATAGAGAGCAGTATTAAAGACTTGTTGGAAAATTGATCTACTTGTCGCATACACGTCCGGATATAGCTATTGCAGTCAGCATGGTTAGCCAGTTCATGCATTCACCTGGACGAGAACACTTTGATGCAGTCTACCGAATTCTCAGATACCCAAAGGGGACCCCCGGAAGTGGTCTACTGTTAAAAAACTGGAGGATATTTGTTGTAAATAGAATATTGGTCAAATACTGTAAATTAGGAAATTATTAATTAGGCCAACTAGTTATGTGCGTGTATTCTCTCTTATAAAAAGAACCCGTGTAAACTTGTGAAATGTGTGCTAATAGAAAAAATTTATTCTATATTTCTTCCTTTCAGGCTTATAACATATATAAAAAAGTCTTTCAA